TTTGTTGGTCTCTTGAGTGGAAAAATTTTTAAAGAAAAAAAAAAAAAAAAAGTAAAAAAAACATTTATCTGTGAAATCAGAAACCACCTGGCGGATATAGACCAAAAGAAGATCTGGAGGAGGATGAAGAGCTTGTGGGAAAGCCTGCAAGATGTGGGCCATTCAAAACTGCAAAGCAACAACTGGTAAGTAGAGTTAAGTACCTCGTTTTTTTTTATCGAGGCAACCCTTTTGAAGAATTTTTTCTCTTTCTTTTTTTCACATGTATCATAATGAAAATAATAAAGTCCGTGTGGGGCTGTTGGGCATTGTTTGCGTCCCAAAGGTTGGCACCAAATGTCTATATTTGATAAAGACACTCAGCATTATACTTAAATCACTTGCCAATATTACACATTTTTACTGCATTATTTGTTGTTGGTTTTATTTGAAAAAATTACAATTTAATTGGGCTTTATTTTTATGATTTGTCAAGTCATGTCTAAAAAATTGTTAAATGCTATTGTGGGCCTTCCGACAGGTGATCAACCAAATGAAGAAGGGCAATGACAGGTCATGTGTGTCTGAATCTAACTATGGGGCTGTTAAAAAGTCTTTGGGAACAAGGCATGTGGTTGAACATGATATATTAAATTCATTATATTTAAATTTAAGGAGTCAGAATGAGGACTTAAGAATTTATGAATTAACATAACATGCTCTACTGTTGTTTATCACTAATGTGTGTTTTAGATCAATTGCTCTATTTGTGTGTGCAGGAGCAGATACCAAGGTTAAAATCTCACATGATCTGTTAATTCAAATTCTTGGTTTCTTAAATTCATTGATTGTTAGTTTCACAATATCTACCACATTCTCCATCATGTTAGAACTTAAGGAGCGGGACATTTATAAATATTTAATGATTTATTGCTTATAATTATTGTTTTTATTTTGTGTGTGTTCTTATCTATTTTATATATTGAATTTGTATTCAACAGGAGAGGTCCTGCTGCAAAATTCATTCCCCCTGTTCTAAACCAGGATTCAGAAGAGTAAGAAACTTCATTTCCTTTTTCCTTTTTTTTTAAAACGAAAATTAAAAATTTTAAAAACATCTAAATTAATCAATGTATCAATAGTTTTGAAATGCATTTTACTATCAATAATTAATCTTCAATAGTCAAATGAGAAAAAAAAAATAATTTCAAGAACTCATCTTTATTTCATTAGTGATGGCCAAAATGGGCAAAAAGCCAATCCCAAACAAACTGGCAATGTTGATGGCAATGATGAAAATGTTGTTGTTGATGAAAGACTCAAAGGAATTGACCCCAAAATGATTGAGCTCATCAATAACGAGGTAAGAGTAAGAAAATTCAAAATTAATTTGTTTTTCATTGATATTTATTTTATTTTCTCTTGAAGAATCTGGGTTTTGCTTGTTATAGCGCCTGGTCTTATTGGTCTTGCGAACAGAGTTTTAATTGGGCAGTGACTGGACTGACTTTGAATTTCAACCATTCTAGATAATGGATCATGGTGCACTCATCACTTGGTCAGATATTGCTGGCCTGGAGTTTGCCAAGAAGACCATCAAAGAAATTGTTGTGTGGCCGATGTTGAGACCGTGAGTTTTTTTAAATATAAATATGGGACTTTTTAGAATTTTTAGAGGAAGTCCTTTGTTAGACTTCAACTTTATTATAATTATACTCTAGCAATCCTGCAAAAGGCTAGATAATAGTAAATAATATAACCACATAATATATACCAGTGATTCCCAAACCTTAACTGGTGGAGCCCTTTTTAGAGTTGATTTCTTAGGCCTTCCGGATAGTGATCTTACAAGTTAATTGTGTTTAGGAGTTGCCCTGTGTGGCCATTGGAGCCCCTGAGTAGAGCACCAGTTGTGAACCACTGCAGTATACAATAGAGAGCAATCTCCTACATGTTAAAAATATTCCTGAACAGAGACATCTGACTTCATCCAAAATTCAAATATAAAACAGCTAAACGACTCTGTAAAAAGGGTCTATGCTAACTATAAATAATTATATTTTACTGTCCCTTAGTGTCTTTGACAATACTGCCTAACTTCAAACATAAATTAGTTTCTAGACAACTTCCTTTGATGCAAACAGTTCATGTTGAGATTTGAAATAGTATATGAGATAAAGTAGCAGAAAGTCTGACAATTCATATTAATGTTTTCATATACCGGTATTCATTGTCAATTTTTGTACAATGGTTACTAGTAGGAGAGAGAAGCATTGTAAAAATATTTATATCTTCATTACCTGAAAAGTTTGGGTGGCTGGAATATCCTGGCCAGATTACCTTTAGATTAGAAAATGTGCCAAATAACAAGGAACTAGAGTATTGCCAAAAAACAACTCACAAAGCCATTATATAGTTTAGTTTTAATTTAGCAACAAAGTATCATTTCTAAATATTTAATGATATTCTTTCAGAGACATTTTTGTTGGGCTACGAGGGCCACCCAAGGGGCTTTTGCTCTTTGGCCCACCTGGCACTGGGAAAACTCTTATAGGTACTTACCCATTTATACTTTGACAGGAATACTGATTAAAAGATCTAAATACAGATTAAAAGGTCTATATCCAAATCAAAATGCCAAGATACAAATCAAATGTTTTTTTTGTTGTTTTTTTAAATTGTTCATGTGACACACTTCATTTAATTTTGTTTGTTGGAGGTGTACATCCCATTTTTTAATCCCGTGCAAAATTGCCTGCTATCTTCCGACTTGGTTTGGGTTATGAAGGTAAAAATGATTTGGATGATGCTCCAGAGTTTTAAGTGAATGGCTCCCCAGAATGGCAGAAAACTCAATGCTGGGATTTTGTCTTGGCTCGTTCTAGCTTGACCTGCTCAGCATTCCTACACTAATTCTCTTTTCTATAGAATTTTTGAAAAACTTGATGAGTGGCTTGAAATTATTCATTTTGTCTCAGGTAAATGTATTGCCAGCCAATCCAAGTCCACCTTTTTTAGCATCTCAGCCTCCAGTCTGACCTCCAAGTGGGTGAGTAACTTGTTACATTCCCTGGCTTTATCACAACCGTGTGACATCATGGATGCGTATAGTCGTGTGACACTATGGATGCGGATAGTGTTTTGACTAATCAACTTCCCCATTATAAGTTTTTAGTACAATCTGGAAACTTTGTTCCATGCTCCCTAAACTGGATTTGTGTAGTCATAAACTAAAATTCTGTTTTATATCAAACAGGTGGGAGAAGGTGAAAAAATGGTCCGGGCATTGTTTGCAGTGGCACGCTGTCACCAGCCAGCCGTTGTCTTCATTGATGAGATCGATTCCCTGCTGTCACAAAGGTCAGATTCGGAACACGAGTCGTCCAGGAGGATCAAAACAGAATTTTTAGTTCAACTGGTGTGTGGAATTATTCTTCTTCTTGCACATTGTAAACTATAACCATGAGATCAAAATTTTACACTTGAAATAGGGGAGACTTGCTTCAATGCCTTAAGAGTGACTAGAACCGATGTTCTCTTTAAATCAGGATACACTATCAATCCTGTATTACTCTTGTTCTGATGTAATTTTTTCTATTCTCAAAACTATTATTATATTCTGTATTTTTTTTTTTTTTTCACGTTGAACTGTAGAGGATTTTATTATTACTTTGAATAAGTAAATTTCGCAGTTCTTTGTTTTTCATTTTCCTTTTTAAAAAAAAATTATCTTTAGTAATTTTTATAACAAATTAAACATAATAGGAAAGAACTTCATGTCTTCAAAGGGACCAGAGCTTTTGTTTTCTTATTACATTGAAGTGTATTCTCAAAGTTTTTTTTTATAAACAAAAAGGATGGTGCATCGACACAGTCTGAAGATCGTCTGCTTGTGATTGGAGCCACAAACCGGCCACATGAGATTGATGAAGCGGCCAGAAGAAGGTTTGTCAAGCGTTTGCTCATTCCACTTCCTGAACCAGTTGCCCGGCGGCAGATTGTGACCAACCTGATGGCCCAGCAGAAGAACAGCTTAAGTGAAACAGACATTGAGGCTATCGTCAAACAAACTGATGGTGGGTCACTGATAAATATGACCTTTTTTAAAAATGTTTCTAACATTGTTTCAATCCTGTAATCAGTGCTCCCTTTACTTAATGTCAGTGTGGAAGAAATTGTCTTTTGTTTTTTTTACCAGTATATAAAAGTTTTTACACCTTGAAAACTTTGATTTTTTTTGTAGAAAGAGATCTGCATAATTTAAATGAAGGGCACTTATCATAGAACTGGAGATTAGATGCCAAAAAGAACCCATTAACTCTACAGTTGCAGTATGCATTTTCAAATGTATCTTTTTTAGCACATGTATGCATATCTTAAATGGAACGCAGACTTCATATATTTTTAAGATAGAAATAATTCATTGCAAGTGTCGGATCAGAACACACTTTTCTATTCATAAGAATAAAATATTTTTTAAAAGCCTGTGATTTTATATAAAAAGTCCCCCCCCCCTCCCTTTCCTCTCTTTCATGTTGTATAGGTTACTCAGGAGCAGACATGACCAATCTGTGCAGAGAAGCAGCTTTAGGACCAATCAGGAGCATTCCTTTTGAAGAAATGGAGATCATAACTCCTGATCAGGTGAGAGTCAAAATGGGGAGAGACTTGTTCACTTCCAAAGTAGTTTCATTTAATAGATATATAATATATAAAGGTCAATGGGATTATTGTTTGTCAAGTCAGTTTCTTTTATTGTAACAAGTGTGTGTCTTCATTCTTTTTATTATAAGCTAAAATATATTTTGTTCTCTGGATAGATTACCAAGTTTTGCTGCTGCTTATTCAGGTCAAGAAATCATTATAAGATGTAATCATGTATACACATTTAGTCCAATAGTTTCTTATATGCTCATACAGGTACGACCAATCATGTATGAGGATTTTGAAGCCGCCCTGTGTCAGGTGCGTGCGAGTGTGTCCAGCAAGGACCTCCAGCTGTACACTGAGTGGAACAAGACCTATGGAAGTTTTGGACATTGATCAAGGGAATAGCTGGATCAATAATCATGTTACTTGATTACCATTTGTTGCTTCAGCATTTAGCTGTTGATTTTCTGCCACAGCCGCAGTGCCTTACAACCAACGGTTTCATGTGCCACAGCTCTAAGTTTAACACAATACCTTATCCACAGTCGGACGTATAACTCGCCATCAAATGTCATTTAAACAGATGTGAAGGCTAAGCTTTGTTCACAGATATAAGTCCCCAAATCCCTAATGTTATGTGTATGCCAGGCTGGCTGTTGTCTCTGTTTTTTTTTTTTGGTGGCCCGAATTTTTAACGCAGGAGTTTTAATCCTAATTTCAGGGCCAAAAAGTCTCTTTGAACTTGTTTTTTTGCTAGGGGACCCTGGATGGCTTTAAATTTGTTAACCTCTGATTATGAGGTTAATACAGTACCAATCCAACAAGTCTCTTTCAACTTGTTGTTTTGCTAGGGGACCCTGGATGGCTTTAAATTTGTTAACCTCTAATTATGAGGTTAATACAGTACCAATGCATCACAGAGTTGAATATAATTGTCCTAGTTGTAACATCTAGTATAAAAAAAAATGTTCAAATCATTTAAACACACTCAGTGTTAAACTACACTGGAATGTATTAATGTAATGGTATGATAACACTGACTGAATTATATAAGTTGATGTTTTTAATGATTAAACTTCAGTGTTTATATATGTTCATCCTTCTTTTTGTTTATAGTTTTGTTAACTTATAATAACTTATAACATTATTCTCTGATGTACATGAAAAAGATTAAAATCTAAAATCTGCTAGAGCAGAAGGAAATAGTAAGAAAGAGCTGCTGTAGGATGCTTGGAAATTTCATCACCATATAATTTTGTGGCAGTTACCATTTTTTTATATGTTTAAATGAAGATATGCCTAATACTTATTTGTCTATAATGATAAGCGCCATATCAGGAATCCACTGTGTACATGTATATATATTTTTTTTTTCACATTAGTTATAACTCAAAGCAAAAGTATTTAAATCCATGAATAAACGTGGTTTGAATTTAAGTTTTTTATCTCGTTGGTGATCAGACCAACCAAGCTGGTGCACCAAGTACAACACATCATGGCACTTCTCAGAACACAGTGTAATTTAAATTGTTTTTATTGTGGTCAACCATTAAAGGTAACACTTGACAAACACAAGTTTTGCATAATGCTACTTTGATGCTTTCATCCTGTTCTGTGTGTAAGTGTAGGAAGATTTTGTTTACCAACTTTCTATGGGGCATGTGTGTATATGGGTTTGGTCTGGGTACAGTATTATATATATCTGTGGTTTGTGAAATTTTTTATATATAGCCAAGTCTGAACAGGATTCCAAATTCATCAAATTAGATCGATCCTTGATGTTCTAGTTGTTAAATTATAAAAATTAAGAAGTTATATCTATTATCAAATCAGAAGCCAAAAAGAAATTGAGGTTCATCAATCAACATTTGCGTTTTTCTGTCGATAAAAAACAACTGAATTAACCACTTTTCATGTTTATTGAAACAAAAGTTTTAACTTTAAAAATATTTTAAAACTTAATTTTTTTGTTAGAAGTAGAAACTTTTTCATGTTTATTAAAAATTATTCAATGATTTAAATTTATTCAGTTTGGAGAAACAAAGTATATTTACATCCATGATTAATAGCAAGGCAATAACACTGAATTTTATGCTTACAGGTAATCAGATAAAACCATTTTCAAGGAAAGCCACATCTGGTCTCTAATTACAGATAATATAGAATGTATTACATCATAGAGGGAAATATTCCTCATCTCTTTCTAACATTTCCAGATTTATTCAGCATATTCACATTCATACAACGTTCTCTCCAATTCGTTTTATGTAGAATATTAACAAAACAAGTCAACTAGACGTATAGGAAGATAACTATCTCCAAACCAGTGCCTTCATCTTGTACTTTTTTAACATTTTACAAGTTTACATATGAAGTCTCTTTTTTTTTTCTGTTTGTTTTCACCTTGGGTTCCATCTTAGTTTGTTTTTCCGCACTGGGATATGGTTTACCATTGTTAACTCCTAAGTCTTTTCAGAAACCACCTTCTGACTGCTCAGTTGCTACAGTGCCTTCTTCTTCATATTCATCCTGAGAAACAAGAGTTCAATTTATTAATGGAAACAAATAATAATAATAATTTAAAAAATTAATTGTATTACCTGGTCTGTCGCTAACATTTTCAATCTTGCTGGCATATTAACATTGAGAGTAGGAGTAGGAGTCATTTATTAGTATAAATTTTTTCTCCTTTTCAGGTTTAAATTAAACATACCATTGTCATTAACTTTTTTATAAACGTTAAACGTTATCTGTACCATTCATAATAAATATATTGTAAAAGAGTTAGTCTTTCAGCTCTAACAAACAATACAAAGACATCTGCAAAGTCTTAGAAAGATAACTTCATAGGGTGTCTAAATTACAACTGCATAAGTCCCTTATTCTATGCTGTCAGTTTCTCTTTTTTTTTTTTTTTTAAGATTATATTTCCATTTGTTATTCCTTGTTATTGAGACCTTCCTGAAAAACATTCAAATGTAAAATGTATTCTTTAATCTTAAATGTAACTTTAACAGAGGAGAAAAAATAACATAGGGTGTCTAAATTACAACTGCATAAGTCCCTTATTCTATGCTGTCAGTTTCTCTTTTTTTTTTTTTTTTAAGATTATATTTCCATTTGTTAATCCTTGGTAATGAGACCTTCCTGAAAAACATGCAAATGTAAAATGTATTCTTTAATCTTAAATGTAACTTTAACAGAGGAGAGAAAATAATGGCTGTACAACATTTGCAAAAATATTCAACAGAATAAACGTTAATCTAAAAATACTAGAACAATCAAGTGCATAAAATGCAAAGAAACAAAAATTTCAATTTTTTAACAGCAATTCATTAAACCTCATAATCTTCAGCATCTTCATAGCTCTCTTTCAAGTTCTTCTCTGTCATTTCTATTTCTTCCATAATTTGAGCTTCCAAAATCTGTCATAAAAACAATTTTTTTTTTTACTTATCTTGTTAATTTTTAAAATAAATTTATGTTATGCTCATTTGATTCTCCTTTTATATTTAGGAAAAACATCAAATTATTGGTGTGTTAATGGGTAGTGAGGGGAGGGGGATTGGTCCCATAGCATAGATTTTAAAATATTTCATTCAGGTGTCTTATTTCAAGTCACCTTTACACACAAAAAAATATTGATGAATCTACCCAGTCATGTGATTTTTTTCACGCCACTTCAAACAATTGTCAATTTCTGTTGGTGCTGTCTGCAGTTTCAGTTCTCTGCATAAGTCCATGATAAATAAACTAAAAAAATTTATTATCATTTGGTCACTTACAGCTTTTTCTTCCTCCTCATTGCGCCGCTGCACTGAGATTTCTTCAGCCTCTGACCTTTCCTCAGGGGTGTACTCATCCTTGTCCAATCTCTCCAGCGTACGGATGGCAATCAGAGTCTCCAGTCTATAATCATCTTCTTCTGCACATGGGTTTTCTAACAATAAAATTATTTTTTTTTCTATGAACAATCCAAATTATTGTAAAGTTCAAGAGAAAACCAAAGCTTGAGTTTTTTTTAAATTAACTCCCAAATTTTAATGATACCAATTATAATGGTGTTTAATAGTTTGTTAGATAAGAAAAGAAGTAAGCAAGCATATAAAAGTCTGGAATTACCTGAGAGGACTAAAGCCCTGATCAATGGCAATATTCTCAACTTGGAAGTTTCTCGTAAGGAACCTACCATGTTCCCTCTGATGATTTTAAAAAACAAAAAAGAGAATTAGTTAATTGAAAGTATATGTATATATTTTCTTTTAATGAAATTTTTTTATTTTAAGGAAGAACATACATGACCAACAGGTTGAAATTTTTTTAAGTAAAATATGTTGGATCAAAGGATTTCCAAAGACCCACCGCAAGTTTATATACTGCAAATTTTTTTGAGTTTCTGAAAAGCCATCCAGGCTGTTAATCTGGTTGTCACGTAAGTGTATTGTGTTGAGGCCAGGAAGACGTGACATTCCTTCAATCTTCTTCAGCAAGTTTGCAGCCTAGAAAATATTTATATAGCTGTGCTCATAAAATGAAAAACTACTTGTTCAGTATTATTCAAAATGCATCTTGGTTGAAACAAATGTTGATGAGAGAAAAGAATAGTGAAAGGATGTTATAGTTATGTTAAATAGAAGTGAAAATTTGATTGTGAAAAACAATCTCACTCAGGAAGAGACAAATGTAGTATTAAAAAAAAAAACGTTGTCCCCCCACAAAAAAGGCTTTCTGGCATGATATTCTAAGTTCTGTCTTAAAATAAACCTCTACCACGTGAGAATTGTATGGCTTTTAACTTCACACAGGATGGAATAGAGGGCTCATATTTAAATGAATTTTGATTTTAAGATAACCTTTCTTAGCCAGAATGCTTTATGAGTGGCTGCAAGGAGGTGGTGAGGCCAATGAAGGTTTACTCACAACAAACAAGTTTTTGACATTAGGCAAATTTATTCCTTCCAATGTCTCCAGTTTATTGCTCCTAAGTTCTAATGTGTGTAATCTGGAAAGTTTGGTGCCGTCTAGACCTGTCACCTGACGTATGTTGTTATCTAGGATCAGAGAATTAAATAAAAAGAAATCATTACATTAAATTAAATGATAAAGTTTGCTTTCAGTTTATTTATATAATTATTCACTGAAAAGCCTTTTCTACTTCCAGCAGTGTGCGACAAACAGTTTTGTATTTGATGGTTTCTGGGGATTAAAATTTCCTATAATTTAATAATAGGAAATTTAATTTTGTGTTTTGAGAAGTTAACAGTAACAGCCGGTGTGGTAAATAATTTAATTATAACAATGGTTTATGCTGAACAGCACGTGTTGTGATTCTTCCTCCACATTAAGAATAATACTCAGAATATGACAAAGGAGAGAGCCATATCCAAAAGTGAAAGGTTGTCTAGTGACTTAAGGTCAGTAATGACAACTGCTCACAATTTTGTTTACACAGTGAATATCAAACAGAATCATAATTTTGAATCACAATGTCATGAAAGAAATAGTTAATGTTATTTTGAACAATTGGTTGTATAAAAAAAAAGTTGTTTGCATATTTAATCCCCACATGTCCTCTGATCTTCAAAAAATTATTTAACTTTAGGAAAACAGGGATTGACTTACAGTTGAGATTGATGTGTTCCAACATAGGATGATTGATTCCCTCTGTTGTATTTATTTTATTATGACTAAATGTAGCTACCTGTGGGAGAAAAAATGCAAATGATTATGATTTCACTTTATACATTTTCAATAATAAATATTCTATTTAATCATTTATTTGCTAATGCTTTAGTAGATCTTATCCTTAGCTTTGCCCTTAGAAAATGTGGGAGTTACTACATCAAAGCAATGAAAATTATAAGCAGAGCTAAAACAATGGCTTCCCTGGTATGAGGGGATGAATATGACCATGGGAAATTCTTTATGCTTTCGCCTTGTGGTCTGGGTTGGGTGGGGGAGGGTGTAGATTTAGAGGTCCCAGGATGCTGAAAAGACTAGTTTTCTCTAGTATATTAATATAAAGGCTTGTGTGATCAATGTTGAGGTTATGTGGCATTTTTCTGCAGTATTCTGGCACAAAACTTATATTAAGTTTAAAGAACATCTTTAATCAGATTTTTATCCCACAGAGCAGGTACAAGGCTTACCTGGAACATTTTTCCAATCAGTATATGAAATTATTATTTTCAGAACAAAAAAAATAGTAATAATATTTTATTGTGTCAATTTTCCATCCTTAGGAAAATGAAAATTTTTGTGCATTTTATAATTTCAACAGTTAATTATTATTTTCACATATGTATGATATATATTTTTGAGTTTACCTGTAAAAATGGCATTTCATCAAGCTTGGCTGATGTGAGAAGATTATCATCTGCTTTCAATGTCAGCAAATGAGTCAGAGCATACAATGGAGATATATCTTTCAGTAAATTTTTGCTGACATCAACATATCGCAGATGAATAAATGTCTGCAGGATTTCAATATCTGTGAGGTCTCTGTAGAATAAAAAAAATTAGATGATGAAAACTCAGCTTCTTTCTGAGAAAATATTGCTTTGTAATTATCTTTAAAATCTAGCTATTTAAAGTTTCCTAATTTTTGAAATGCCAAAAGAACAAAAAAAACAAAAACAACAGAATAACTGAATTGTTTAGTAGTTATTAGTAATATTAGTAATTAGATTTACCTTTCACTAATATTTAACTGTACATAGGCATGAGATAAGCCATCTCCAGTTTTACAAAGTAATGATAAATTCTCAGCCACTAATTCTGCTGACAATGGATTTGGTGGAATTTTCTGGAAACAAAAATGTTAATCTACATTTTAAAATCAACATTAAAAAAAAAATAAACAAGTACAAAGTGAAACACTAAAATTAACTCAAGCAAGACGCTTGTCAATGGAGAGAGAGAGAAATGTCAAGAAATAGAATGAGCTGAACATGTACATCCAGGAGCAAATTAAGCAAAGAAGAAGCTTGAAATTAGATGTATAACTTTTCATCATTTTGTTATCCAGCAATTAATTATGTACATCTTGCAAGGAAAGTATCACAACATTGCAATAAGTCAGATCAATGGAGGCACATTGTTAAAAATATTATTATTTTTTTAAATCATAACTTAAACTTTTAAGTTAATGTTCAATAATTGTCAATATCCTATGCCTACTTACTTAAACATATTTCTATTACATTTACATGTTCATTATTTTTGTTGTACATACTATAATTTAATGACATATTATCAAGTGATTTGTGATTAAAACTTATTTCTAAGAGTGTATTTGAGATAAAAATTTATCTATACATTTTGTTGTTATAAAATATAAGTGAATCTTGAATCGGATGAAACTATTCGGATGAAACTATTCGACAATTATCAATTTACAAACTTACTTCTTCTTCAATGTGTTCTTCTTCATCACCTTCCAGATCCTCGTCATCTTCATCTCCATCATCCTCATTTGCCCCTCCTTCGTTAGTATGAATATCCGCCTCTTCTTTATCAGACATTATGCTAATATTTACTACTATCCTACACCAGACTTACCGTCACTTCAACTTACAGTCAAATTATTGAGCGTCTTAGTTACTGTGGCAACGGTTATTTCCGGTTTGGAAATGTAGCTTTTCTTTTTTAATAAATATTTAAAGCTTTAGTTCACCAAATACATCTCAAGATTAAGAGGTAAATGTGTACAATTTATTTATTTTTATTTTTATAACAATTAAATAATTATTTTCAGCCTGTTTACTCGTGTGACAGTATTTATCTGAAAAACAATTTGGATTGAGGTTACGCCAGAAAACATGAAATTTCTGTAGATAGAGCTAAAATTAATTTTAACGCTATAAAGACCAAGTCGACTACAATTTTGAGACCTGTATTATGTACGGGACAGGCTAGCTAAAACCTGTCGTTTCGACCTAGAAATTCACAGGACAGCCATTGTTTGATACGGTAAGTTTCCAATAATTTTATTTTCTCGTAGTTTTAATAAGTTTATGCCATTTTTATCGTTATCATGTAGACCTACCGATTCATTTCTAATAAAATTTCTAATAAGTCATTTTTCGTTCGATAGGTAAGTAGGGCGTAAGCAGAACTGGATTTTTTTTATTGCAGGAATTCGGTGATACGCAAAAATAGATTAGGCCTAGGCCTACTATCTTAGGTGGTGTGTTATACAAATAATTTATATATTCATTTATAAAGGGCGTATTTAAATAAATAAGTAATTTAAATTGTCTATTTTTTTAAACTATATAATAATAGTTAATTAATTAAGTAATTATTAATTTACTATTTCTGGCAGCCTTTCTTATCTTATACTTATACAATACTACTATACTATACCGGATACCGTATTTAAAATTATATTTACTTTAAGTGTATATAATTAATATTATCATCATTATGTTATTGCTATCTAAAATGGAAAATTATTGGCCTGATTTAATTATATAAACTTTTAAAGGCTTATAAACAATGACTAAATTAAATTAAAATGACTTATCTTAAAAGCATAAAATAATATTATGAATTAATATGAGTTAGAAAATAACATTGGGAAACTTACTTAATTTAAAGTAAATTATAGGAATACGCCTATTTATAAAATTTATTAGTGCCTAAAATGCCCTAATTTAATTATATCAAAAATAGTGATAATTAGGTTGTTTTTTTCTTTTCATTTTTCAATTTTCATATGATTATTATCATTATAACCACTTTTATTAAAAGTTTTACTATAATCTTTTTTTTTTTTAAGTAGACCTCAATGAAGACTAAAAAAAACAACTTCTAATATAATATTATATAAATTTGGTAGAAAATTTGATGTCAAGAGTCTTCTAAGTGTTATACATTTTTTATCATGAAATGTTGAAATATTTTCTCTTTAACTAAGTTTAACTGTGTTCAAATTTTTGAGGGAGGTAAATAGATAATTTATTTAAACAGAAATATTTTAATATAGTTTAAAAAGTTAAAGGAAGGCCTAATCATTAATCACAGTAATCTTTCTTCTTTAAAAAAACAACAACAAATAACTTAATGGTCATTGCTGCAATGTTATGTTATTATTATTGTATTTATAAATATAATTGAAAAATAAAACTTGGGTCCATGAACCCTAGTTGTAGGGGTCATGGATTGGCTTAATTAAACGATTGGGTGAAAATAACATAATTTTCTTTTTATTCTTAATGTTAAAAAAAATTGATAAGTATGTTGTTCAAAGGCTTCCTTTGGCTATCAATCTGGTACCAGAATGATTAAGACTTCATGCTTTTATGACTATATGTATTGCGGGAAGAAAAACTTTACCACAAGTTAGTCTTTTGAGATATTTTTTTTCTGAAACAGAGTTGATTTTTGTTATTTATGAAATAAACCAAGTATTGATACTATCATTTTTATTTTCAATTTTCTGGCCAAAATCTGACAGAATTAAAATTGAGAGCCTTTCCTTATTCTTTTTGGTTGCCTTATTCTTCTCACCTCCTACAAGGAAAAATCTTATCAACCTCATGTAGTGTGTAGTTCAGTACATGCTTTTAGTCAATCACACTTTACAAAAACAAATTGTGTTACATCAACAGCGTGCCATTCCTTTCTCAAAGGATGCTCATTATGGTCATTGCTGATAGTGCTTGTTATATTTACTCTTATCTGGGTCTTCTACTCTGCTTGCTGCTCCATTTAAAGTCCTCTTAGGAATGCCTGTTGATTTTGTGCTAATAGGAGTAAGTAAAGCTTGTTGTCCTGGTATCTTAAGAATGATTCAAACTGTAGCTGCATTTTATTTGATTTTTCTATTTATTTTCTATTTATGATCTCACTCATCATATGTCCTAAACTGCCAAATAATTAAGGCCTAACATATGGCCCAGGGAGACAAAAAGGTTTTATATAACAGTGAGAATAGAAACCAATGAGTTATATAGGGCCCTTCCCTTCAGTCCCTTGTGCTTTATATGATAGTGAGAAAGGATTTCAATGAGTTATAGGGAATCCTTTCCATGTGCTTTACATGAAAGTGACAAATCATTCTTTAAAAAACTTTTATAAATTGTTTTTTTTTGGAAGGATTATTAGCTTCCAGATATATTTATGTAGTGTCAATTATAGCAGTTTATAGAAACAAAATTGAGTTTATTTAAAACTGCAGAATTTTAATCTCTTGATGGTTAAAGTATTCTATTAGAATTTATTAGAAGATTAGATATTGTAAGATGAAGAGTGCACTAATTGTAATGTAGATGGGCCAACCACTCTTGAGGTGTTAAGGTGTTATCTCCTTGTGATACATTGCAATGAATGTAGCAACATAATGTTATAAATCAACTGTAATATGTCAAAACATACTTTTCCATCACTAAACTACATACTAATGCCTTGCCTACTCTTGGTTAAGTCCGTATTTTTCACTGTTGGTATTTTAAGTAGCTTGCTAATGGATTTGGTTGGTTTCTGCAAATCAAGAAATTCTTTCCACATAATAATTGAAATAACTTTATTATTGAATCCTAAGCAATTGAAGCAAAATTTTTGTTTTCATTATGTGCTGGCACCATTAGCTGATTATTTAGTTTTACTCCTGCACATTTGATACTGGTTACGAGTATGTATATTAGCCAAATAATTGAGTTGAGCATAGATGTGTTTTGTACCTACTGAGCTTAAAATTCATATTAAAATGATTTAGGTTTGATTTAAAAATGAAGGCAATGATTCGCTTTATAATAAATTTGTAAATATCTGTTAGGAAAAGGCTCTGTGTGCATCTTGACCCCCTTCCCCTAGAAAGTAACCTTAGAATAACTTACACTAATTTCAACATTGTTTTCTCAATTCAAAAGATCTCAGAGAGTTGTGGCCCCTGTTTATTCTCTCCCTTTGGAGAAATGTTTACACTTTTTGCCTAAAATCTCTTTATTGAAATATGATTTATTTGGAGCACACACTTTGCTGGATCGTGATCTCTTGAGTTTTAGAACACACTGGACTCTTTTCTTGTGCGCAATGTTTGGGGAAATACACTATGTTGGTTTGTGAACTCTTTCGGGTGTGGAATGTTGTAATGGTTCTTACTCTATGTTGTGGCACAACGATCCATCGGGTTAAACAGTTGAAGATCAAGCATAAAGGCCCCTTGTTACAAACATTACACTAGAAGGTCTCTCCCCCCCCCCCCCCCCCCAAAAAAAAATAACGTGAAAACGTGCGTACTTGTTGGGCCTTTAAGTTATATTTGGAATAGCGATATCTGCTAATAGGCCCCAATAGGTAATCACGCCCCTCATTTCGGGACGTCAATCCGAAAATAACAGCTCACATGACGTTAAATTAAAGGGCAGTGCTTGGGGTGAAAAGGACAGCCCGTGTGCAGTTCTCTAGCAGTGAAAGGGGCATTTGGCAGGACAGGAAAAGGGCAGCTCTCCGTGTAGCGTGACAGGCTGTGGAAGTCGAAGGGAAAGAGAGTGGCCGCGACGTGAGAAAGTCTGAGCTATAACGAGGAAGCTACTGGGGGAAAATAGGAACAAAGGCCCATCAAAGATTTATTGGACGCCGGTATTGATTAGCCGACAAACTTGATGTCATAGTTTTCTTCTATTGTGGCGTTCTTGGTCACCATAGCAACCTAATACTACTCGGGCCAGGTACGGAGATACGTGTCTATTGGTTGGTTTGTGTGAGGTTGAGGGGTGGTGGGGTGGGGGGCATTGATTATTCAGAAATTGATTAGGGCGTCTGAGATTGGGCGGGGGGGGGGGAGTTATAGTTCCGCTTGACATGCATGCGCGGGGGTTGGTGGGATGGAAGAGTCGTCGATTCAAGACCGCTGGCCGTCGCACGTGAGCCTTGCCAGGACAGTTGTTTGGAATACGCTTGGAAATATGTCGCCCAACTAGGAGCTCAAATTGGTGGATTAAAATCTGGCGCGGCAGCATCAAGCTCCGCCCCCCTGCCTATTGCCGCCTTATATTATACTACATAACACCCCCCCCCCACACACTTTTTTTTTCTTCCTCTCCTTATCACGCTGTAATTTTTATTCACAAACCATTAGTTAAGAAAGAAAAATATATAATATATAGCAGCCTTTCTTCCCTATGTAACCTTATTTTTTTTTTAATACGGATGAAAGCAAGACATTCCGAGTTATCCCTATGAACAGTCACGTGTCACCATGGCGTCCAGGTAGACTTGACTCTCGCTTCCTTCTGTCCTAACATGTGTGACTTTGGGGTGTTATCCTCTGCTGACACCTCTGTAATAGGAAACAGGGTGAGCTTGGAGATGGCCTGGAGTGTATGGGGTGGAAGGACGGGGATCTTCCTTTGGAGGCACCCCGCAGTTGGTCTGTGAACAACGGATTCATCTGGTCGTCCGAACCATTTTATTTGGACGCGGTTCATGGTGGCAACATTTCTCACGACTCCTTTATTATGCTATTATTTTAATGAACTTTTTTTTGCCCCCGGAGAGAAACAGTTTTTTTGTGACGTCAAAACTTATGTTGAATTAATCGACCAATGGGAGCATCCCGTGAGTGGCGTCGTCTGTCATCATCGTGATCTTTAAGTGACGAAAGAACCATGTTACGTCATCATTTTCTTTGA